GTTTATAGATGAAGTTCTCTCAGGGTCACGTTTATAGATGAAGTTCTCTCAGGGTCACGTTTATCTCTAGGTAAATTACTTTTTCAGGCTGAGGTGTATTTTTAGATACACAAAAAGAAACAGACACACATTAATATTTCATTACTTATTTGAAACTTGAATGTGGTAAACTTTGGGAAGTCCTTTCATCGTGATGGTGCAGAATTCTCAACTCGTGGGTGGTTTTCAAGGCAGAAACAACAAAGGTTATACAGTGTCTCCCAGATAACAGTGCTCTAGAGGGAGACGTGTACACGCTTGGGGCATTGCACTACTGGGGGGACAAATGTGCTTTGGGTAGTGCACTAGATGGGGCATATACATGCTTTGAATAGTGCACTAGAGGTGGACATATATGTGTTTGGGGCAGTGCACTACTGGGGAGACAAATGTGCTTGGGGTAGTGCAGTAGATGGGGCATATACATGCATTGAGTAGTGCAGTAGAGGTGGAAATATATGTGTTTGGGGCAGTGCACTACTGGGGGACAAATGTGCTTGGGGGATATTATTGGGATTATGGTTGAAAATCTTGTCAGCTCACTGGCTGAGATATTATTGGGATTATGGTCGAAAATTTTGTCAGCTGACTGGCTGAGATATTATTGGGATTACGGCCGATATTATCAAACGTACCCAACTGACAAATCAATCCACTCTTATCATTTTCAGTAAGAATGGTATATTAAATAAGCTCTACTTTTTACTAGGTTATCTTTGTTAGTTGTGATCTATACAAGTTGTTTAAAATGGTAGTTACTAATAATTACTTTAATCCCCTACACCAGAGAAGTTTTAAAAACAAATTAGGGTCACGACTAAAAGCAGACAAAAAATAAGCTTAAAAAACGCTAAGTTTTTAAAAAGGGTATTGTTTGTTAGTTAGTCATGAAGCACACAACTGGCTAGCTGTGCTCCACCCACCACTGTTATAAGCCCCCTGACTTACTAATGTGAAAAGGTTCCAGGTGATTGTGTTTATTGAAAAAAATTTCAGAAAAACAAAATAAATCGTAACAAACGTAATTCGTGCTATAAATAAAAAAAGTGAAAAAGTCATGTTGAATATCTGACCTCATAAGAGCTTGTGAAATACCTCGTTAACCTCACAGGCATATCGGGACCTTTGTCAGGAAAAGTTGCTGGAAATATTTCCCCACTTTTTACATTCACTCCTAGAGTAAAAACATTTTATATATATTTTTATGTATCAACACCCACACAATTGAAATTAAGTAACAAAAATCACCAAACACAATTTCTAAGTTCATCACACAAGCTAAACCTGTGGGGTATTATAAGCTATGTCTTCAGACTTCACACTTACTATTCTATTATAAGCTATGCTTTCAGACTTCACACTTGCTATACTATTATAAGCTATGTTTCAGACTTCACACTTACTATACTATTATATGCTATGCTTTCAGACTTCACACTTGCTATTATAAGCTATGCCTCCCAGACTTCACACTTGCTATACTATTATAAGCTATGCCTTCAGACTTCACACTTGCTATACTATTATAAGCTATGCTTTCAGACTTCACACTTGCTATTATAAGCTATGCCTCCCAGACTTCACACTTGCTATACTATTATAAGCTATGCTTTCAGACTTCACGCTTGCTATTATAAGCTATGCCTCCCAGACTTCACACTTGCTATACTATTATAAGCTATGCCTTCAGACTTCACACTTGCTATACTATTATAAGCTATGCCTTCAGTCTTCACACTTGCTATTATAAGCTATGCCTTCAAACCTTCTTACACTTACTGTACTATTACAAGTCCTATTAAGGTAACAATATATTAGCTTGGGCTTCTTTAAGTAGGTCTAATAGAATTAGGAACTTTTTAATGATAAACATTAAGGAACTTGTATAACCAAAAAAAAAACAGGAATATCTTTGGCCAAATATCTTACAATGATTTTATTTTAGCAAGTGACAGACCATCAAGTGCCTGTTAGTTTAAAAATAATTAGAAATTACCTATATTTATATAATCTTGAGCCAAGATCTAATAAAATTCTAGGACTTGCACACCACAAATTACAAATATTAATTTTAAAGAACCTTTCTTGTAAAATATATTAGGTTATAAAATGTCAGCTTATACAAAGTGAAAATCATTTGTTTCAGCTTTTATTTGTCAATCTGTAACTGTTGTTACACGTTTCTCTGATTTTTGTCACATTGTACTTAGTCACATTACTTTGTAACATTGTACTTAGTAACATTACTTTGTAACATTGTACTTAGTAACATTACTTTGTAACATTGTACTTAGTAACATTACTTTGTAACATTGTACTTAGTAACATTACTTTGTAACATTGTACTTAGTAGCATTACTTAGTCACATTGTACTTAGTAACATTGTACTTAGTAACATTACTTAGTCACATTGTACTTAGTAACATTACTTTGTAACATTGGAACATGAAGTACACCTCTGATGTTGTTTTTTTAAATTGTTTCCATAAAAAAACTGAAGTATATAGGATGCATTAGATTATTCCTTAAGCCTAAGATATTAAGCCTAAGAAGTAATGCAAGTTTCTTATAGTCTTTACTACTGGCTGAGTCTGTGGTATTTTATTTTTCAATTATTAAATGCCTTTAGACTGACTACTGCTTCCAACGTAAAGATATGTCCACACTAAAAATAGACATCAAAGCACTACTTACTAGACAGTCATTATATTATTACCAAATTGTTATTAAAATTCAGATATTTTATTAATTAAACTGTAGCCCTTCTTGTAACAATACTTCAGAATTAGAAGTTAAATTGTTTTCAAAGTACTAAAGAATATTAGTCGTACAAAATCTGACAACAAAAAAAAAGTTCCGGAAACATGAAATTAAACTCACCAATTCCATAAACGACTGGCCAGTTGATAATCCCCCTTAAAGAATTATTCAATTCTGTTAAAAGAAAAATGCTTATTTTCATCATAAAGAAACTGATAGTTTATCAAAAGGCTAAAACTACTATTACAAGAATGTGTGATTCGTAAGACACGGCTAGAGAAGACTAAATGTGCCTCACTATGACAGTACGCCAGTACCAAATACGTTAGGTTTAATGGTTACCTAATGTAGCAGCATGTCCCGTAAGCCTATGTCGTAAATCAGAAACTTATGAAATAAAACGTACATAAAATTTACACGCACATATATAAGTACGTGTGTGTAAGTAAGAAAGTACTGTTGTTGTAAAAACAAATAAATCTAAACAAAATAGAAAAACCTTATCAGAGAGTCACGGTTTAACACCAGAATATTGGAGAGTCACGGTTTAACACCAGAATATCGGAGAGTCACGGTTTAACACCAGAATATCGGAGAGTCACGGTTTAACACCAGAATATCGGAGAGTCACGGTTTAACACCAGAATATCGGAGAGTCACGGTTTAACACCAGAATATCGGAGAGTCAAGGTTTAACACCAAAATATCGGAGTCACAGTTTAACACCAGAATATCGAAGAGTCACAGTTTAACACCAGAATATCGGAGAGTCAAGGTTTAACACCAAAATATTGGAGAGTCACGGTTTAACACCAGAATATCGGAGAGTCAGGTTTAACACCAAAATATCGGAGTCACGTTTAACACCAGAATATTGGAGAGTCACGGTTTAACACCAGAATATCAGAGAGTCACGGTTTAACACCAGAATATCAGAGAGTCACGGTTTAACACCAGAATATCGGAGAGTCACGGTTTAACACCAAAATATTGTCTCATATCAAGCAAATTTTCTGGAATCTGCTTTAACACAACCCAAGTGTCTCAAAATTACTAGATTTTACTTTTACGAAGGGTACGCCTACCAGCAGTGGTTGTTGGTGCCAGTCTCTAAAATAAAGGCTAAATTTGATGAAGTACAAGCTGAAATTGACTGAAGTAGAGGCTATTTTTAGTGAAATCTCTTTTGCCAAGGTTCTGTATTATAATAAAACTTCTATATTTTGAAACAGATGTATCTGAAACACTAGTTTTTCCTATCTTCAACTGAACAACTGAGAATTATCTTTCTTACCTCGCAACTGACAACATTCACGTGTTAATGGCCACAATAAACGTCTGCTGCATGATTGACGGCTACAACTAACAACTGAATTTTACATCTTAAATGAAAAGCAAAAAATCCTTTCTGTAAATATAAGCTTTTTACAATAAACCATTAAAAACCAGCCGTTACTTTTTACAGGTTCTGTTAACGATAGTAAAGGTATTAAATGTTTTACAGGTTTGCTGGTAGGCCTTAAATGGTCTTAGTTCAGCCCCATGAACATTTTTATGTCATCCTGCCATGGTCAGACACATATGGTGCACTGCCCCAATAATGTATACGTCTCCCTTTAATGAAGTGTCCCAAACACATTTGTCCCCCCAGTAGTGCACTGCCCCAAACACATATATGTCTACCTCTAGTGCACTATTCAAAGCATGTATATGCCCCATCTAGTGCACTATCAGCCAGCCAGCTGAAAAGATTTTCAACCATAATCCCAATAATATCTTGGCCAGCCAGCTGACAAGATTTTCGACCATAATCCCAATAATATCTCATCCAAGTACAATTACAGTTTGACTCAGATCTCACCTGTTTCAGAAACATTTAATAAATTACACACGAATATAATTTCAACACATCTAGAAAAGCAAGACTACTTAATCAGTTACATAAGGACGAAAAGATTGAACAAATCATTTAAAATTTTGAAATACAAAGCATAAATAAATTATGAAATATAGAAAAAAACAAAATGTTTTGGGATGTGAAACTAACACAATGTTACAGTATTTAACTTCTGATACATTCATACGAGCATATAAACAGAAAATTACAGATCTCAATGGATCTCGTACAAAGCCGTCATACCTGAACGATGAAGTCATCACTCTGGGACAACCAAAGGTCAACTCCTCTCATTGGTTCATAGTTGAAAGGTCCAATTCTCAGGAGGCCCAGGTTGTAGTCGTAAATATCAAACATCTAAAAAATGGGAATTTTCACTACCATGATGAGTGTGATGGTGCCAGGAAACAGTTCAAATATGTATCAAATATCTAAACTGACAATGTTAGTAGGAAACAGCCTCAAAGAAATACTGATGACAGTGAGGGTACTAACTGATGGGTCAATGCATTCTAATCATTCTGTAGTTCTTGTTGGACCACTAGGTGGCATGCTTTAATCAGAAGTTGTCGATAATAACAGTGTAGTTATCACGACACGACTGATAAAACAAGCAAATAGCCCCCAACAAGCATAGAGTAACTTCAAACCTGCTCAGTATCCATGTACCACACAGAATAACGGTTTAAATAATTTCAGATGTTCCCCCCCAAAAAAAACGTTACACACTTTCCAAGGACTGCTTCATGAAACACTTTTCAAGCTAATTAGGTTTCAGACAATTTTTTAATGATCAACTGTGAACTACTACTAGTATAAAAGTTTCACGGAAAAAGCTGACAAGTGAAAAAGATATTCCAGGACTGGGATTTGAGCTCAAGACCTCTGGTTAACAGGGCCATTGTTCTACCACTGAGCTATCCAATATATTTTCATTCATAAGGTTTTTTTATATGATCCTCAAAAGATGTATTGATCAGTAGTAGAGCCATGACATACAACTTGGGTTCAAGCCCAACTCCTGGATCCTCTCTTAAATAAAGGCTTTTATCACCATAAAAAGTTTAAATTAGAAAGTTTTCTTTCACTGCTTCACAAAGGAATTTAAAACAATAGTAACGAAAATAAGCATAATTGTATAATTTGTTTGGCTAGTGATAAATCAACCCACTAACTGCTTGACCAGAATGTAATATGGTGATCATACATGTAGTTAAAAAACAAAAAAAGCTGAATGGATAAAAAGACCGGGTTGGCTTTTACTCTTGGATAGCTTAATGGTAAAGTCCTGACCCTGTCAGACAGATCTTCGGGGTTCAAACTCCAGACCTGGAGGTTTCTTTTCACTTATCAGTCTTTTCACATAAAAAGTTTATATTATAATATCCTTTCATTAATTTACAATGGGATTTGAAATAAAAGTGTAAACTAAATAATTATTAACGTATTAAATTTCTGGTTAATTAAAAGACTATTAAGTATTCTGTGAGAATATTTATTATGTACAGCACATATATATATTTTTTATTATGAGGATTATTTTGTATCATTAGTTCAGTATATAGACTTAGGGCTTATTAAAATCTTGTCAGCTGAGATATTATTAGGATTATGGTCGAAAATCTTGTCAGCTGGTTGGCTGAGATATTATTGGGATTATGGTCGAAAATCTTGTCAGCTGGCGTTGAAACTGTTTCCACCTGGTTAGTTCTTTCAGTCACTAGTTTCAGTATAA